TTCCAAATACATGTATGACCCGATTGATTATTCACAATGTGTGTATTCACTTGAAATGGTGTTTTTCCCTTCATTACATATCAATATTATTGAGACATTTATTGCGTATACAAGTTTGCACAACTATTTCAGAAATAACTTAAATTTTACAAATGGTCAAACTCATCTTCCAAGAACGATACAACGTGCTGATTGTCATCCCGCCTGCCTCGCAATCCAAATATGAATGTCATGAGTTTCTTTGTGTTTGTACAGCTATCTCTTCTAGTTTGAACCTCCTTATCCTGAGGCAGAGACGCTTGCACGTAAACACCATATCGGAAGTGCGAATTAAATGTCTGTGTGCTGCGCGTAACGCATCGACTTATATTTGCCTGAAAAATTATTATATGCAAAATTAGTACTTTTCAGCCACACTAATTAACGGAATTGAGAGACAATGGACAAATAAATTATGTGCCGAAATTATTCATAATGCGTAATATATATTGCATGTAATCGATCGAACGTGTCTCGTGATATATCAGAGCTTTACGAGAGGGCACGAAAATATCAGAGTACGGAGTTATTGAGATGGTTATCGCGAGATTTTTTCACAGTTCCTCGGACAGTATCTTATCAGTCAAGTATTCTTTTGTAAGTCGATAAAGTTTGACCTACCAAGCGCAGTGCTCTACGCTTGAGCTCCCAAACGCTGGAAGTGTAATCTTTATCAATGTAGGGCGGAAGTATGTGAACGTCCGTTTGAACTTTTTGATCATGACGAATCTTCAGCCGCAATCCTTCTTCCGTTAATCTTGGAAAAACAAATGTCTTTTTTTACACTTCTCGCTTATATAAGCGACAGAATATGATTACAATTAATAAGCTCACTCTTCCTGGCTTTGCATGGCTTCGATCTCTTCATGTAATTGAAACAGATGGATGTATTCCGCGTGATTGCGAACAAAATTGAGCGCGTCGTAAACGTATCTGTTAACAGTCGAAGCTGAGGCATATATACATTGTATTTATTTACAATAATGGAATACCTGTCGGGATCTTCTCCAAATTTTGCGGCTACTTCGGACGACTTGAAGGCATAATGCTTTCCTCTCCATTTCGCCACACCGTTGTTCGGATTTCCTGGTACGAGGGCTCCTTTGCCCGTCGCAAATGTCCACGCGCAAAATCCTAGAAACTAATGCATTCCTCGTTCCAGCATTACTTGGAAATGTACTCGAGTCTTTCGAGTAAAATCACGCAGATCTTTGTACGAACTTTAATTCTTTAAATTTCGTAAAATTATAAAAGCCTCGGCTGGTATAAATGCTGCCGGTTACCTCCAAGTTAATCTTCTCGAAGTCTTTAGTGACGTTTGGATAGTATATCAAACACTCTCCGCACTCTGCTGTAAAACCGAAAAGATATATGTCCGCTCCATATAAATATTTATGCGATCGAAATAAGATCGATGAGTAAATTTTCGCTTGCGCTCGATATTTATTATAATTTATGGAACTATCAATACTTATTAAATTTCCCATGGAACGTTCGAGTCTTTCAGCGTCGGTTAAAATATCCTCGGCAATATCTTCTAACTTTGTTTCGTCGTAAATATTCGCAGTCTATAATATAAATCATTCTAAATATATGTTCCGAAAGTACGTTTAGATCCATTACGGGCGAATGCTTAATACCTTATTGCTCAAGCTCTGTAATTCCCACAGGAAATTGTTGACGCTACTCAAAATGATCACCTCATCTTGCAGGCCCATCCATATATCCGCCAGATCAATAAATTGCGGCTAACAGGCAGAGTGTACATATATTATTAATCGCAATACGATTACGTTTACCGCGGACTACATTTATGAATTCATCAAACGTTCTAATGAATGTTTAATTATAACCATCCGGACTTCAGGGAAATATTATATTTTGTCACAAAATTCCCCCAATGACTAGTACATTTTAGTAAATGAGTTATATCTTGCATGCGGAACGGTGAGATTTTACACGAAAAACGGGGGATTCTGTGTAACTTCTGAGAATGATAAGTGTTAACAGAGCAATTATGTCGGGCATCAACTTGGTCGTATTTACGTAGACTTGAGTAGTAGGGATAGCCGTTCTGTATCGAACAGTGTCGTGGAGTTTGAAGAGTCGCGCTCGAAGACGTTCCATCAGACTCTTCACCGTGTTCTCGCTACGCTCCACATCGCTCAGCAGCTTTCTACGACAAGATCATTTTAGAAATCGTGTCAGTTGTCGATCATTTCTCCTTCGAAGAAATGTCATTTCTCTTTCGAGAGCCACCTGATGTAGATCTCTTGCTGGCGACTGGCAGTTAGCATTTCGATGGCCCGCTCGATCTTCCCGTCCGCGTCCGCTTCCTCCGAGCTGCAACATGCAGCATCCGACGCGTCGGTCGATACGCGCGTGACCGCGTTTTCCACGACGGCCGTGAACTTGTATATCTTGGCCATTAGCGGCTCTAACAGCTCGAGAATGGAGTTGCGGGTCTTCGTTAGAGCCTCTTGCAGAATGCTCGGCACTAAAAACAATCGTCGTCGCGATCACTCTTGCGATGCGAGACGCTTTCGTGCAGTTACAATGTCTGTCGCGACATCATCTCCGTTTAAAGCCATTCGGAGATTACCCTAGTAGCACAGAGCATTGACCAAACATTGGCCCAATATTTAGCCAATGCGCTGTGCTACTACTTTCTAAAAGTCAATCAGTGGATTCACTGTTTTCAGTGATAGTTCACTGATTGGTTTTTAGAGAGTAGGGATAAGCCGGCCGGATTAAAATTGTCCCGCCCTTACGATCGTCGATTCCCTCGCCACCGCGTTGACAATCTCTGTTAAATAGACGGATCCCCGCGACTAAACACATGAGCTCCATCAACTGCTCCTCCTTCTCTCGTTTCGGCAAAGTCACGTAGTGCGCCAGCTCGGAAGCCTGGAAGACGCTCTGCAACGCCACCGACACCTCCCTAATGTACGTTACATATCCAATTTTACGAGGAACTGAATACAACATACATGTAATTTCATATACAATTATTATTTGATGTCTCTTTATAATTTTTTGGTTAATGCAAATTTCAGCCCGTAGACGGGAATATTTCTTTTTATTCCCCCGATAACGATGCTGTCTTTGGCGCGAGGATGAATTTTTCATGATCGAGAAAATAGAAATGCAAGATGAAACGAACCGAATATTATCGATTTTGCTTCATTTTACATTTGAATTTTTATGAGGTTCGCGCGAATATAATCGACAATTACCTCAGATGTGATGGGACCGTGGGGCTTCCCAGACCGCTCAGAAGCGTTATCACCGCCAATATTTTCTGATATAACTTCTCCGTGTCCTTTCCGCTCTCCAATTTGCTGGTCTCGCAAATCTCGACGACCAGAGGTCCAGTCTTTTGGTGCAGTCGCAACCGATGCCTCTTGACAGTTTCGTCTGACGAGCGAAGTATGAAATCGCGATAGTAATTTCGACGTGTTATAAGCAACGTTCAAACGCACTTTTACCTCGATCGTGATAATGCTTGGCGAAGTACAGCTGACTTTTCAAAGTCACAAGACCGGGCCGGCTCTGGTCACACAGCCTCTCCGTCACGGCTTGAATCACCCTCGCATTTTCCTCGTTTCCATTTTCTTTCGTTCGGTACGCTGGATTTAATTGATACAGAGAAAGCTAAAAATTTTCGAGAACGCTCTTGTAACCTCGTACTTGTATTTTTAACAATATCTCATTGGTTATCAAATTACCAGAAACGAAGCCAAGTCCTTAGTTACCGAGGTCCCTTTTGCTTTACACTCGCTTACGATTCTTTTCGCCAACTCTCTCCGCGCGTTTTCCATTATGAGAAGCGAATGGAACAGTCGCCTCTCCAGCTGATTTTAGCAATTTTCATCTGCTACAGCCGTCGACTCGAACAAAACCATCCACCCGTAAAGTTTGATCGATACTTGCATACGTTGAAACAACCTGCGCACACCGATCGCACCAAAGTCTCGATGCTTTCCTCAAATATTATCAGTGTAAAATTAAAAATCAACAGGTAGACGGATTTACGCAAGAAATATTAACGTAAAGAAATGTGTCGTGCTTAAAATATTTTTTAGCAATTAATATTTGTTACGTATCTCATACTGTACCAAGCGTAAACTTTATCCTTATTAAGGTAGTTGTTTCGCGACAGTAATGCTGAAAAGTTTCTTCCAGACAGGAACCAGCACTCAATTATTACAATGATACGTCTTGATGCAATATTGTTCTAAAGAATACACTTACGATTGATACATAACGTAAAATAGATTCGAAAGTTATAGTTTGAGACGCTGTCGCCACATCTCTTACACTACACTCATGTCTACTGCATAATTCTTGTCATTTTTCAGCTTCAACTGTTTATATTGTTGGAACGGTTTTGATTTTTTTCCAGTTATTCGTTCTATTTTACTTTAGAACATATGTGTTTCTCATACGAATCTCACTCACCGTTAAGCTTAAAACAGATAAAATGTGCCACCATTTGCGTTTGCAAGCGCAAATATTAATATTTAAACGCATAATAATATTTCACGTGTAATAATATTACAACGAATTATATTGTTACGTGTAATAATTTTTTTAACGTGTTTTACACGTAATATTTCGTGTAACGTAGCAAACTATAACATTTTTGTTTCTAGAACTTTGGGACGGTCAGTTTTAATTTAATTTGTCTTATTTTGCACGCATTAGTGTAAAGAATAAACTGTAAAAATTTGAAACAATTCTCACATAAACGATTTTAAACAGGCAATAGAAGTCAGCACAAGACGTCACGTGTGAAGTATATAAAATATTTATTGTTAAATACGCACGCAACACACATATACAATTATTCATATATGTAATACATATCGCTTTATGAAAATGAATCTACCAATAATGCTGATTTCATCTAACGTGACGCATGGTTTCGTCTGAGAAATGAAAACGGACGCGATCTGTCTTCAGATAATAGAAAGCCTCGCGAAAAGCAGAGCTTCTCGCGTATCCGGTCTGCGTGTCGTCAAATGTACGAGCGAAATCGGCTCTCCGCGGGCCGTCGACGACGTATTGCCGAAATCGCGTTTGAATTCCGTGCGCGACGGCGCGCCCGCGATCGTGCGCGCTCGGCCGTCTCCGGCGCCATGGTGGGGGAAAGGGGCGGTCGGCCGAACAGAGGTGTCGCAACGGTCTGCGCGTTCGCTGCCAGTCGGGCTGGGTGGTCGGTAACGCGAGTGTGGTGCGTGCGCGCGCGAGCGACAGACGCGAGACAGCCAACGTGCGAGGAGCGTGCCGCGTCGTGTCGCGAGGGAGCTGCGTTGTTGTCATGGCGTTGGCGTGAGCCGCGGTCGACGTGCGTCCAGCCAGCCAGCCAGCCAGCGGTGTCGAGTCTCAGGAACATGGCGCGCGATTCCCGGCGCGCCGACCCGCGACGCGTCGTCGCCGTCGAGAGCGGCGGCGGTGGCGGCGGCGGCGCGGCGGCGGCGAGGCGCAAACTGGTGCTGGTCCTCCTGACGTCCCTCCTGGCGATCGCCGTACCTGCCGCATACGCCGAGAATCAAGGTGAGTCACGCCAATGTTTGTCTCTTCCTTTCCCCGGAGCGCGTCGGAGCACGTCGCGTCCACCCCGGGCTTCGTTAACGTTTGTCTGGCGACGCGCGACGCGCGCCTCCAGCTGATCCGTCGCGTCCCGCGACCGCGTGCGTGCGATTTCACACGATTGATTTTATTTCGGAGCGGAGAGTAACGTCCGCACTTTTCGAAGCCTCGTTTTCAAGGTCGTTCGACGTTGCTCCTGCGCTCCGTTGTTCCGCGTGGTGCGCCTATCGTTACGCGTTCGTCGGTGCCGAAACGCGGCGTGAAACGGAGTAATGCGACGGATTTGCTGTGTTTTTTTTTCAACTGGAAGGGACCCGCGGCTATAAATTCGTGCGCCGGCGAGGATACGTGTGTTATTTGCATCGCGTAAACAACCGCTGTAGCTCCGGTTTCTCCGCGTTTCACTCGCGGCGCGCGTACTCGATAACAACGTCGAAATATCGGTCGCAGTATTCGCAAATTGTCTCGTCGATTTTCTGACAAGTCACTTAACAACCACGTTCGTTTTTTCCGCGTACAAATACGGCGAGTTGGCACGGGTATCATTTTATCCTTGTTGCTCGCTGCACGCTGAAAAAGGCAGACGCCTGCGACGATTTGCGTCGCTAAATGGAAAGCGCCGATAGACAGTCTAGTGAGAGATACGTAAAATTAACACGGACGCGAGTCCGAAAAGCGTGTCGCGTACCCGCGAAATACGACTGTGCCGCGATTCACGGGAGCGAGAGAGCGCTCGAGCGGCGCGCTTTACAAATTTGATATTTTAATTGAACAAATTGCCGCCGCGAACTCAGAGAGCCTGGCGGTCTATAAACGCGCGCTATTCAGGCGCGACTCCAGTTTTTTTTGCTCCGAGGGGAGGGAATAGAAATTTGGTCGTGAGTTTTGGGGCAAAGAGAACGAACACGGCCGGGTAACGTTAATAATTGAATGACACGTTCCGACGAACGCGGCAGAAATCGACAAAGTTACCTAATTGACGTCGTTCACCGCATAAAAATAGTCTTTTCTTGGCGCGATCGATTCGACGCGCGATTCTTTGCACGGCGAATCGCTTTGTTCGCGCCGCACACGGCGACGCGCGTTGCACTTTCATGGCCACGCGACGTCATTGCCGTGCGATTTCGTTTCGGGCGCGTGTGGTCGTCGCCCTCGCGCGATATGGACCTCAGCTTCCTCGGGGGAAATTGTCACCGCGGAGCGCAGTCGCCTCCGCGAGAGCGGATTCCCTCGCGAGCCGCGTTTAAGTGGCTAGGAACTATTGTGGTTACATCGTGTTTTATGCGCGGCTACACCCCGTCTGGAGACACTTTTCATAAATATTTCTATATCGTCACGTCGCGCGCGCTCTTGAGGCAACCCGCACTCGTCGAATTAATTCTTACGCGTCGCGTTACGTAATTTCGCTCCTAACCTCGGACTTTGATATACTTTGGAGCTTGCATCGTTTCTCGTATTAATGTACGTACACGGAGAGAATTTTCTCGTAAATTTCACCCTGAAAATCTTGTAATCGTGGGACAACGTGGCGTTTTGAAGAACTGTATATGAGAGTTTTTGAAAATTTCACCACACATTCTATTAGCAAAATGTATACTAATTGTAAGCATATAATTACACTGTAAAAAAATTACGTGTAAAATTACAATTAATATAGTGGGTAATATTGGGACCATCTGTTAAAGGTGTATATTTACATATGTCAGTAAATTTACACCTTGTAGGTAAAATTATTACCTTGTGTAATAAGTAAACCGCTTGCTTTTAATTGTGTAAATTTTACAATTTTTATAACTTTTTGTGTATAAACAAGTATTTACACAACAAAGTAAAAAATTTTTGTAAAAGTAGATAAATTTATATATTTCTGTTATCGATTGTGTAATCGCTACACTTATTATGTATATAATTTTACATACTTTTTATAGTGTACCAGTAAAATGCATGGTAAAATTTCAAAAAAGTCTCAGAAAATTCTTCGAAATGCCGTGTTGTTCAACAATTACTTGATACACTTAATACCTTTCCAGGATAAATTTTAAGAAAAAAATCCTCTCCGTGTAGAGACAGAGGTACGAGATATCACGCTCCGCGATTTTATTTGTAATATTCGAGAGAGATTTCCCAGCGGAGGGGGGGGGGCAATTTTTGTTTGACATTTCACCGTTAATTATGGGAATATAAACGCAACGCGCAAACAGCGGCAGTGTTCGCTAACGATCGTCAAAGGATCGTGTGTAAAAGAGGACCGTTTTATCTTCAATATCGAAAATTGATAAGCAAACAAAGTTTGATTGCTTATCGGGAAAACGATGTAATACGAAACGGTTAAAATGAAAGCGATGTACTTTTAATAATCTGCATTGCACCAAACTGATTCGCGTAAATATTTTGCTCGCTCAGCTCGAATGTATGCACGTATAATATTCGGACTTACATATTGCCCCGCACGATCTCTTCGTTTCCTATTAGTATATTTTTACGTTGCAATTTCTGACGCGTCTTTCAAAGCAACATACTCATTGTCGCAACAGGAAATGGGACGTAAAGAAAAAGTCCATGGAGAAAACAGCAGGGTTGGAACGGTCATAAACTTATTTTACTCCGCCGGCCGTTGTTTCCTTGTAAAATAACGTCTCGTAGTAAATTCCATTGCGAAAATTACGGCGTGACAGTCACCGCGTTTACGCCCTGAGAAGGACGCGCGATGAATCACGCCAGGCTTCTTTGTATCGACGACCTTTCCGAGGCACGAACGTAATTACGTAAATCGCCCCACGTGCATCTCGGTGACTTATTCATTGTAAATGAGACTGCAATTGCCTGGCTACCGCCTTTCGAATGCACAACTGCTTGTTGGAGCATGAATTCGGAGTATTTCGATTAAGCGGGAGCCTCGCTCTCTTTAAGGGCCAGTTTCACAAACGTTGCTTAACTGTTAAGCGAAGGTTAATTGATTCTCTGTCTCTACTTAGCCCCGGTTTCACCAACGTCGCTTAACTTTAAGCTTAGCTTCGTTCTTTGTCTCTTTCTAACTGTTATTCTAGAAAAAGACAAACGTGAATTAAACCGAGATTAAAGTTAAGCGACGTTTGGTGAAACCGTGCCTTAAGAGTCAGCTTCACAAACGTTGATTAACTGCTAGCCGAAGGTTAATTGATTCTCTGTCTCTTCTTAAATAATAAGGCTCAGTTTCACCAACGTCGCTTAACTTTAAGCTTAGTTTAATTCGTTGGTTGTCTCTTTCCAACTGTTACTCTAGAAAGAGATAAACGTGAATAGAGATAAGCGACGTTCGGTGAAACCGGGGTCTAAGACGGAGATGGGAGTCGACTAAACTCTGGTTAGCAGGTAAACCGACGTTTGTGAAACTGGCCTAAGTAAAGATCGCAGCCTTACAAACTCGAATCGATTCGAGCTCGCGAGATCTTCCTAATTACGCACCGCGGACGGTCCTTCGAAACAAGCGTAGCACTCGTATCGATTAGAGTTTAAATTAAATTTTTACCCGAGTTGTCCCGTCCGATCATTACGGATAGTTATTGAATGATGAATCGTCGCTTTTGGTTCCGCCGCGGTTCGACACGTGTATAAATAATATCCCTCGTGTGTAAAAAAAGGTATCCCCGACAAAAGGCACCGTGGAATTTATATCCATTGTTAGACCGGAGCAGGAGGGGAAGGGGACCGCCAGTTCGTCAGTGCAGTCGATAAAAATTTATGGGAGTATGTTGAATGTAAATGCGATGGCGGCGCGGGTCCGCGTGAAAGATTTATAGGGATTTACATTACGATTTATTTATCCTTTCTGGTCACACGTGAGGCGGAGAGCGCACGTTGGACCTCCTCCCCAAAAAAGTCCGCCTTAACGTCCAATCGATCGCATTGCGAAATTCTTTTCGCGTTTCCTCTGCAACGCGGGGAAATACCGCATAGGGGCGATGAAATAAATTCCCTTGGCCATATTAAAGATAAGTATCGAGGAGAAAAAGGAGACGCGGGATAGCGCAATGTAATTATATCCTTCGAACGTATATCATCAGCGTAAATCTTGGGGATGGCTAAATCTGCCGTGCTTTCGCGCTCGCAGCGCCGCATGAAAAAGCCGCCAGCTGCAAATGAGTGATGTCAGAGTGCCCGGGCGATATGTAGCGCGGTGGGAAAATGGTTAATCGCACTCGCGCCGGAGACGGAATAGAGACGTACGAGCTTTATGTCGGCGATGCGTTTAGCCTTCTGCGCGTTTCCTCGCGGAGGCTAGAACCTCTCTCGGTGCATCGTACATCACTCGCCTTCCTCAAATCGCGACTCCGGGATGCCGCGTTCCTCCGCGAGAAATCACTTTTGACAAGCGGTTATCATCGGGGTTACCGGAATGCCGGCCTCGAACGATTCGTTCGCGGGACGATCTAATCGCAGGCCATTCTGCCAATCGGCTGAACACCCTCGAGTTCCCGTGGACACACGTCGCAAAATTATAAATATTGACTTTGTTTAGTACCGGCGTTGCGAACTCGCGACTCCAAGTCCCGCTAGAGCTCGTTATTCTCTCGTTCTTCTCGGAATGCTCGGCAGGCCGTGAAGGTACCGGCAAAAAGACCTTGAAGCTACCACTTGGTACTTCAGCGTACTTGGTACTGAGAGCCGCGGATCTTATCTAACAACTCTCTTTCGCCATTCGATGATTTCTTACCGTACACTCAACCCTCCCAGCACCCGTGCGCCACATGTCTTTCGGCTTCTTAGTTGCCTCACAATTAAGATCGTTATCGGAATATAAATTCTCTGAAATCTTTCTTGCATCTCTAATATTTCAAAATATACATTAACGGCAACATCGTATTATAATAAAGTGGATAGATTATCACACAACGGCGCACAATATTTTTAACAAAGAACAAAACGTTTTATACCTCTTTCAACCTTTTGCCTTTCTCTTTCTTTTTCTTCTTTAAATTCTGTCG